TGAGTTCAATCACCAAAGTCCGATGATTTAATCAGTCATGTCTATGTAATGAAGTCTCCATAAAAACCCAAAAGGACTGGGTTCAGAGAGCTTCCGGGTTGGTTAACACATGGAGATTTGGGGAGTCATGCACTGGGAGAGAGCATGGATTTCCCCATACCTTGTCCTATGCATTCCTCATCTAGCCATTGATTCATATTCTTTCATATCCTTTATAATAAACTGGTAATCTACCAAGTAAAATGTTTCTCTCAGTTCTGTGAGCCGCTCTAGCAAATTAATCGAACCCAAGGAGGCGGTTGTTGGAACCTCTGATCTCTAGCTGGTCAGTCAGAAGCATAGGTGACAATCTGCACTTGTGATTGGCATCTGAAGTGGGAGAATGGAAGGGGGCAGTCTTGTAGGACTGAGCCCTTAACCTGTGGGATCTGATGTTATCTCTAGTTAGACAGTGTCAGAATTGAGTTGAATTGTAGGACACCCAGCTGGTGTCGGAGAATTACTTGGAAGTGTGAGGAAATTTCCCCGCCACACCTGCACACGCAGTGGAATTGGTGACCAGAATCGTTAGAGACAAAATCAACCTGGGAAGATCATTAATGGAATAGATCATAGAAGAAAAATCCAGATTATCTTGACAAGTTGGAAACTGGACCAAGATGCACAGGCATAGGCATGAAGCCCTATGTGTGAAATTAAACTCTCGGTTGAACCACGGGAGCCTCTTATTTTGAGAGTAACGGTTGTGAAACAGACTTGAGAGTCATGCCCTTGTCCCCATCATTCAGCCCAAACCCTTCTCATGGAAGCTCCAATGACTATTTGGTGGGACAAGGTACTTTCTGCTTGTCAATCCTGATCTTTTTCACTCCTTCTACAGTTTTTGACACTGTTTGACACTATTAACTTCCTGCCCTTCATGGAACCTTGTTCTGATTCCAAAATCCCACTTTGGCCTTGTTCTCTGCTTTTCTAATTTTTCCTTCTTAGTCTCTTTTACCCTCCCTTTCAAGTTTTTCTTTTACTTTATATTTAAAAGCCAATGTCCCTTCAATTCCCATCTCCGTGTATTTGTAGTCTGTATCTCTCTCTGATCATTTGTTCACTGTTCATCTAACATCTATTTGTTGAGGACCTGCTATGTGCCAGGGACTGTTCTAGAAGCTGGTAATACAGCAGAGAACAAAACAGACAAAAATTTCTACCCTTAACGGGATTATATTCTAGGGGGATGAGAGTCAATATGTAAGTAAGTGAATAGATAGATTAGTGTTGGGTCATGGTTAAAGCAAGAATGAAAATCAAACCCAGGTAAGGAGATTGGGCATGGCAGAGCTACTACCTTAGACAAGAAAGTCAGAGAGGGTGCCATTTGCAAGGCTACTTCTACAAAGACTCCCAAATCTTCATCCCTGGTCAGTCCCTCTCCTTTGGGGCCATAGTCCTGAATGCCTCCTGTACAGCTCCCGCGGGATGCTCTAGGGCACCTGAAACTGTACATGCTCATCTCCTCTACCAAACTTCTTCCTCCTCTTTGGTTCCCCATTTTGGTTCATAGCATGATCATCTCCTCACTCAGCCAACCTAGAAACTCCAGACTCCCCTTTGTATCCTTCTCTTTTTCCACCCTCATGCATAGGTATCCAATCAGATGTCACTCGGGCCTCCCTTCCTCCCCCTGCCATAGTTCAGGCCTTCCCTGTCTCTTGCTCGTGTTATTTCCGGAGACTTCTAATTCATTTGCCAGCCTCTAGTCCCGCCCTGCCCCACTCTGTCTTTCACATTACTGACAGAATGACCTTCATGAAGCACAGATTAGATCTCTTTTCAAGGCTTCCATCTCTACCCACTGCCTCCAGGATTAGCAAGGTGTTGAACCTCCCTGGTTCCCAACCCACTGGTTCAGCCATCTCCCTTCACTTCCCTACCACACACACCCTATGCTCTGAACCCTCTGTCAGAAAAATCATCTCCCCAGCACTTTGAGGATATTCTTTTTTTCTTTTTGTATGCTGTTCAGTTTTTCCTGGAACATTCTTTCCCTTCCCTACCCTTCCCTACTCTTATCCACCCTGCTCTTCCTTACTCTTCTCCTCCCTTCTCTGCCCTTCCATACCCTTTCCTACCCAGCAAGTTTCTAACCATACTGCAGTAGCCAACTCAACTCTGCAAAGCTTTTCCCGAATTCTCTTCCCCTCCTCTCGTCTTCTTTGTTGTGACCGCATAGTGCTTGGAGCAGGTAGCATCACCCCGGTTTAGGAGGGTTTTCTGGGTCCCATTAGCCTGTGGGTTACCTGGAGACAGGCACCGTCTCTTGTGCGTGTCTGTGCTTCCTGTAGATATTAACACTTGAAAGGTTATTCTGTGCATGTTTACTGAACTGGCTGGAATTCTACAGAAGACTGATACATATATAAGTTGAACCATGTGAAACTACTGTTCTTAGTCAATATCTGCAATTTTGTATGGTTCAATTAATACATCCATTTTGTGTCAATATTTGTTATCCTTATTTTGGATAAGGATAAGGTAAGGAAGGTAAGAAGTATTCTTACCTTCAGCCAGACTGCCTTAAAGCATGGGGCTTAAAGAATTATTTTCAGCTCTGGGAGACATTTCCCATCTTACACATTCTACATATCCAATTTTTCTGGCCAAAAATGGATGCATACCTCAGAAATGTTATAAAAGTATACTCTGTTTTCTTTCTTGCTATTACCAATTTTTCTATCATGTTTTCTCTGATTCAGATGATTTGTCATAAACATCTATGAGTTTTTGAAGTTATTTATAAAGTGATACAATGGTAACTTCTAGAATTGTCATACATTATCGGCCTAATGAAAAGAACATGAAGTTGTGAATAAGACAAAAGTGATAAATTGTCCATTTGCATGTAGATTTTTAGGGTGAAAGTAGATCAAGGTATCAACTGGAGAATTTGTAAATATTTTGTCCAATGGTTTTGATGTCCATGACAATGATACAGAACTAGAATTGTTCTTAAATTTAGAATGGCTTCTATATTCTGCCTTCTCACTTTTATCAACATTTAAAAATAATATTCTTAAGTAATAGCCAAAAAAATTATTCTATTCTGCCAGTTCTATAATTAAATGATTTTGCTACGTACTTTTTAAATAAAACCCAATAACATAGCTAGTCAACTGTCCCCTTTTGTGCTGAACTGAATTTTGTTTTGGTTTTAGTTCTCACTTGAACTGCTGAGGGAGAATAAGCCTGTCACAAAGCAACAATTGCCATCTTTCTGTCTGAATGCACCTAAGTAATCTTTACAAAAATGTTTAAGACCATCCTGCTTAGACACATCATGGGGTTTTCTAGTTACATCACAAATGAATCTCTCTTCGAAAGTCTGAAATTTTAGGCCACCATGCTTCTCGATCCCCTTGCCATGAGACAATAAAATTGGCTGGGGCCATAATTGAAGGGAATAGTTGATTGTGGGCATGGTCTTCTAGCACCATGATTAAAGTGAAAAACGAGATGTAAAATTAAAAGAAAATGTTGAAACAGGCTAAACTGGTTTTCAAAATCTTTTCTGGTTTAACAGGGCCAGAGGTATTGAATGTAGAAGGCTTTGGGGATTATCTAAAACTAATGCTTTAAAAGATCAGGTTGTTAGAGGATTTTGATTCAGGATCTTATGCATTTTTTTAAAGTGTTGAACAACAAACTCTGAAAACCTGGGAGAGTTTTTTTAGGAGAGGGTGGTCTCCAGTTTGTCTTTATGTTTGCCTCTAAGATGGGTGTTCAACCCAACTAGCTAGCAGACTCTTCTTGGTCAGGTACCCTGCACCCTGTGGTTATCAATGGTCATCCCTGTATTTGACTCGAGTTTATATAAATTTTTTGATAGGGACAATGAAGGTAAGTGGGTCGACCAAATGCTTAAAAAATGGTGCAGATGGGCCGGCCCCGTGGCTTGGCGGTTGAGTGCACGCGCTCCGCTGCTGGCGGCCGGGGTTCGGATCCCTGGCACGCACCGACACACCGCTTCTCCGGCCATGCTGAGGCGGCGTCCCACATACAGGAACTAGAAGGATGTGCAGCTATGACATACAACTATCTACTGGGGCTTTGCGTGAAAAAATAAGTAAATAAAATTATTTAAAAAAATGGTGCGGAAATTAGTGATGCTTGGAAACATATGGCTCATAACCATGATAAAGGCTTATATGCTTGGATGGATTGAGAACATTGGTTCAGTAGTGTCGGGGTGTGCAAGAAGGCTTGTGAAACCAGCGATCAAAATCGTTATTGGTACAATAGCCTTTATGCTGAACATTTAGAATGAGCTTGAAAACACCCTTTTGACTTTGAGCAAGGGGTGGCGTTGTGATGAATAAAGCTCCATATAGAAATAACCATATCTAACGAGAAAAACCACTGTTTTTATTTTTATTCCAAGAAGTCACCAAAATGTCAGCTTGATATATATGTAGCATATTATGCTTATTTTTAAAAAAGAAAGGGTGCCTTTTTCTGAATTGCGCTCTAGCTCAAGTTTCTCTTACTATCACCTATGTTGGATATCATCAGGGAATGGATTCTAATACTGAATTGCTACATGGCTATTGATAAATCCATATTTGGGCTTCCCTCCCCCTTAATGTATTTTTTCCCTCTTTAATATATACATTTTTAAATCAGTCAATCTAGCTAGCTAGAGATTGTATGAAAGACACATATTAAAGAAAGCAAATAAAATAGAGACCGTGGGCAAGTCCTTTGATTATATTCTGCCAGGGTTGGGGGTAAATAAATCAAACTGTGCTGCCCCATAAAGGGGTCCCACGGGAAAGAAAGGGGAGACATGCGTTCTCCTGAGAGAACATACATTGTGGCTGACCAGCTGAGTCACGTGGTGGGAGGGGGCTCTTTTCTTTCTCCTCCACATCCCGTCCTCTGATGTCACAAATCTATTCTTTCCTGGGAGAATTAATTAGCATTCACAGGGTGCAGTTGGCAAGGAGAAAGAAGGGAGCCAGAGCGCGTGTGTAGGAGAGCAAGGAGGAAGAGCCCGGTGGGGGCGCGGGTTCTTCCCCCTTTGGAGCCGCATTGAGACTCAAGGCACACTCGGGCACAGAATGGCTGTTTTATAAGTGGGATCCTTGGGGACGTATGGCTGCCTGCTCCTTGGCAGCTGTCTTTATGGACCAGTAGGCAGAGGGAAATTGACGCTGACGAGACTTCTGCATCTTGGAAGGGACTGTAATCTACTGTAGTGAAGAACAGAACCTCTCAATCACGCGGGTGTAAATAAGAGACGGAGGGGAGTCCAAAAGAAAAGGAAGAGGAGGGGAAGAGTGTGTGTTGGGGGGAGCGGGGAAAAGCATTTTTGGTGGATGGTATGAAGCCAGCCATGGAAACTGCAGCCGAGGAAAACACTGAACAAAGCCAAGAGAGAAAAGGTACCCAGTGCTCTGACAAGAGCCTGTTTAAAGCTTTTCACTGGGGGCGCTTAAAAAGGGGGAGCCGGGTTTTGTGTCTCTTGTAAAATAGCTCTGAAACAATCCCTATGGCATGGGCTCGCTTTCAGGGTGGTTGGTTTTTTTTTTTTTTTTTCCTGTAGGCTGGTGTTAAATTAATAGAGCAGCCCTTCTTCAATCCGTTCATGTTCCAAATCTTCCTACTAAACATGGTATTTCATAGAAGGATGTCTGAAGTTTGTCACCTTGGGTAGCTGGATTGGGGAAACTGTCTTTTTAAAATTAATATAATGAGTCACAACTTAGGTCATATGTTCTGCATGTTATATCCCAGGGCCATAGAATGCATTGTTTACTGCTAATGCCAAGGAGGACCTGGAGGGGCAAGCATATTAAACATGCTTTGGTTCTGCTAATGCTGTAGTGATTTGGACATTCTCTAATTTTCTTATTGATTACAATTGCTATTTCTGTGTATCAGTCCCTGACTGTGACATGGAATAACCATTTACAGTTGGAGCTTGAGAGAGGGGACATCAGCTCTGTCTCCAGTGCTGATGGAAAGGCAGGGGTTTGGGGGGGTGTCTTCTGCTATTTATGACTAGAGAATAGGGGGAGGAAAATTGATAAAGGTCCTGTTCCTTGAAGGGAATCTTAGAACATATCACGATTTTGACACATGGAATGGCTCTTTTGGAGAAATAAGTGTTTTGCAGTAAGAAAATGGCAGAAAATAGAGGCTAAAATTAATCTGTCCTTTCCTAGGTAATGACTGATTTTGCGTTTGATACCCCATAGAATCAGCTCGGCCACTGTTAGGTTAACAGCATCTCACTGCATTGTAATTTATCTTCCTCACCTAAAGTTAGAGACTGTCAGAAAGGCACAAAAATGGATTCTATACCCGCAGTGGCTCTCATATCAAAAGCTGTCGTGCTGAGATTATTTCTCACGGCCCTGGCATCCACTGACAGTCACTAAACAACAGCAATTCTCCAGGATAGAGGGACAGCTGTGTTTTACTTATGAGTCCATAGGTTGAACTGTCTGAAATTGCTGATAGTCAACCAGTTTACACCTACAAAACCGTCAATTTCATGTATATTTCAACTTAGCATGCTTGGGTAGAGGCTGTTTGTTTTTATATGGAATTTCTTCTGCACACAATACATTAATAACATTTTATCCTAAACAATTTCATTTTCTAAATTATTTTTTAAAGTGTGATAAAATATACATAACATAAAATTTGCCATTTTAACCATTTTGGGTGTAGAATTCAGTAGCATTAAGTACATAGCACTTAAATTTTAAAATTGGTACTTTAGTTCCATCCCTGAATCAAGCCTGCTATCCTCCACCAAAAACACAAAACAAACAACAGCCCAAAAAAAACCCTGCCTTTTCTTGTATGTATATATTTTTAATTTACATGAATGACCACATAGCAATAAGAGAAACTCTTGGGAATGTTTATGAAGCTGAGGAACTGAGATAAAAGTTTAGAGATTCATTTCCATGATGATTAGAGACGAAGTTTGGGGGATGGTATAATCACGTAATAGCATTGTTGTGAAGCCTATCACATTTTATAGCAATTTTTTCCTAAAATAGATGACTTTGCTTAGTACTCACTTTTTATTAACACGGTGTTGGCCAGCGGCAGAGAAAACCATTTTGGTCTCTGCAAAAACATCCTTTTCGTTTTTCTCTCCAAGAGCAAGCAAGGGGCATAAAACCAATATAAAATCCTTACCGCACAACTGTGTATCCCATCACCATTTAGTCTTGTAGATTTCTATTATTTTACGTCAATTAATATTATTTAATACCAAAGCTACAGGCTGCCACTACATCCATTGACATCTGTATATGAAAACTTGTTAGCTATGGTTTTAGAGACAAAATTAGAAGCAAAAAATAATTCCTGGAGGTACTTTTTAAAAAGTATCAGAATTGATAAACATTAGCTGTTTGTTAAGTAATTCAGAAATACCAAGTTAACACAAGATATCGTCACTTGTATACTACATACTTGAGTAAGAATCCAGGCCAGGGAATGTATTTACTGCAGCAACAGGGGTGGTGATCGCTCTGTGACCCACCCACCATAAATGTTGATCTGCATGGTGACTTACATACTGATCTTCATTTAGACCAACAAGTTCATATGCCAGCTGCCCAAGGTCAAATCTCACACAAGTATCATCTCTGTAGTGTCCCGTTTGCTCACCCTTGGTCATTTGAGGCACACAGGCACACAACAATAATCACAAGTGTTTGTGCATGCTTGTCGCTCCAGTATTCCTTCAGATTTAATTTTAAATTTATAAAATAAATGTTTACTTCATTGAAATTAACATTTAAAAATTTGACATAATTAGAGAATGCATTATATAATTCTGGAGCTGGTAGATCTGATTTTTTTTCTTTTAAGCCTTTCAGCAAGGGAATTTAATTTACTAAATTTAATCCTACACATTTTGTCACTTCCCACAGAGTTTTTAATGCACATATATTTTTCCTCCTCTGTTCCTCCTTTCCCATTTGTTTTCAACAGTTAGTGCTAGGGGCAATACCTGTCTCTTAATGTGAGGTATTATTGTCCATTGGCTAGTACCCAGTAGCTTGTGAATTAACAGCTTTGGATAATTATTACAGTGTTTGTTGAGAATCTAAGTTAAACTTAGCTTTATAAATTGACTTCAACTTTTTTAGTTTGTGTCACTTCCTGGGAATTTCAGCAGGACAAAGAGAGTTGTTTCTTTAAACTAAATCAGAATGACTTTGTTCCTATTTTAAACAAAAATAATCCAAGTCCTTAAAAAAAAAAAAAAGACAGCATATGTGTTTTTGAAACAGTCTCATAGCTTTTGTCACGGAACACTACCGGATGATCAAAATTCACGGGAAGTTATTCGGGAATTTTTAAGGAAAACAGTCAGGTTTTCTCAGATGGATGTAAGAAATGCCAAATTATTATAAATGACAGTTTTTAAATTGGAAGCATTAAATTAAATCAAATTGTGAGGACTGAGTAAGCAGATTCACTGAAATGGAATAAGTGGAGGAAATGAATAAGACAGAATCAAAGGAAATAGATCATGGGACTCAATAATAAAGAGATGGAGAGTTAGGTTTCTATTTATTTCTGTGGAGTATTACTTGATGTCAATTCATTCGTGAAAACCAGGGCTTCTGGAATTGCTGTTAGTGGGTAATCAAAACAATTGAATCAATTGCTCTGTGTGAAAAAAACCGAAGTATCTGTGATGACAATTATTTTTATTGTATGTAGGAAATTGGAATCTACTGAAACAATTGTAGTCAGGCTAGTTAAGCTCCTATGAATCATTGCTGAAATAAATTCCAGAATTCCCAGCATCAAATTAGGTTCCTAACCACATAGGAAGAAAAATGTAGTAAATCGTAAATAATGTATAATTTAAAATAAATTATAGGATATAGAGTAAGAAACGAATTCAAATTGTTGACTCGATTAAAAAATTGACACATCCATTTAAATCTTTTAAATCAAATAAATATAATTCCTTATGTATTTGGTTTTTTTTAATTTAGCAAAATGTGTGCACTTTTGGCCCCCTCTTCTTTTTTGTTTAGACTCTTCTAGAATATATGACCTATATGCTAAAAACCCAGAGGGACACATTTAACGTGTTACACTATTCCTGGTGATCTATGAATTATTGGATTTTGAGATTTTTACTGATGTTTTCTAACTTGATTATATGAACATGGTACAGAGAAAGTTTCAGATACAGTTTTTCCCCATGAGAATATGCCGAGGAGGACATTTGAAGAGAGGGTGTCTGGGGAATAGGCTGTGGAGGAAAGCGTGGCTGGCCAGATGGTGCTGGACATATGTGGTAGGAAGGATACAGCTCGCTGTTATTTTATTTTTTTTAGAAAATTTGTGTGGAGAAGATTTCAACAAGTCATTTAGTGCATCTCCTACTTTTATATTACCATTTCTATTAGCATACTTTTTAAGACTTGGCCTTGCTATTTCATTAGACAAAGAATTCTAATCCATTTTTGGAAAGTTAGATTTGCCTTCCTTGAAATTGAGTGGAAATCTTGAATTCAGATTGTAATTTTAAACATCGTGTTTCTCTGTTACTAGGAGGTACAGGTCAATTTAAAGTAAATAGTCTTAATAAAAGGACTTATTAGCCTTGATGTATCGGAGAACATGTGAAATAGCCAGTTATCCCATGACATAAATTTCTCCTCACTGGGAGTGGTGACAAATTCATTGTTTCAGACACCCTCTTGCTTTTTTCTCCTTGAGACCAAATGTACCTCCATGTGAGATGGTTGACCAGGACTAGGGATGGCTATGGGATGGAGGAAGAAGGTGATGCCCACTGGCTTTTGAGAGAGGGAGGCTGCAATCCCAGCTTCACAGTGTACCTGGTGGTTCATTCACTTCTTCACTTATTTATTCATTTAATAATGTTTTCCTTTGAACCCTCATCCTTCCTCTGTCCTCTGAGCTCACGTCATAGGTGTAGAAGGGTGCTGTCTCATCTTAGGGGCCATTATGTGTAGTATAATCTTGGTTTTAACCATAGTTTTGCTGATTGATGGCAGATTAAATAGCAGATGACAATGCCAGAGAGGAGAACTTTGATCCTTAGCCAGCCCACTGATATTTCTCTTCAGAGAACATGTAATAAAAGAAAAGAAAAGAATTTCCTATTTTGTAGGCTGATTTGATTAATTGCATTAACTTCTTTATAAATTCAAGCCTTACTAGCTATATTCAACATCAAAGGTCAGCACATTTCCTCTGTAAAGGGCCAGAGAGTAAATATTTTAGGTTTTGTGGGCCACACAGTCTCTGTTGTAACTACTGACATCTACCATTGCAGCATGAACCAGCCATAGATAGTGTATAAACAAATGGGTGTGGCTGTGTTCCAATAAAACTTTATTTACAAACACAGGTGGCCGTTGTTTGCTGACCCCTGCTGTATTCTCTAGTGTTGTTATAGCTTTCCTTTAATACTTTAAATAATAGCTAAAAATGAAGGATGGCAGATACAGCTTTCAAAGACCTTGCCCAGGGATTATGGTCTTTCTAGGAAGCTTAGTCTTTGTCACTTAGTTGCTTCCAGTGATAATTTCCTAGATGCTAGAATGTAGACCAGTCTGCAGCTCAGTTATTCAGCCTTGTCACTAAATCACATTATCTAAGTAAATAAAAAAAAAGGGTACAAGGCATTGTTTTGTTTTCCTTTCCTCGATTTCCCATTGCTTGTTTCATACCCACCTTTGGTGATGGCCACGCACAGTTGTGTGTATCACCATTAGCCACCACTGCTCACCTCAGCCCCAAGTATAAATAATATCTCAGATGTCACAGTCTTTTGTGCTTCTTCGAGACTATGGATTGGTCTCTTGCCCATCCCTGTCTTTTACTCTCTAAGGGGATCATTTTCAGCCCTCCCTCTATAGGGCGTAAACCAGGATCTTCCTGGGTGTGTACATTTTCCCATTTCTTGCCAGTTGCCCAGAATCAACGGTGTTTTAATATACTGTTCCAGCTGAGGCTTCGAATCATGTGACTCCCTTCTAAGTGTTGGGACCCTGTTCTTTTAAACAAAATGTATGCTGTACTCTTTGAAATTTTAGAAATAATTTTATATTTAATGTCTTTAAGTTTGGCTCAAAAATATAAAACAGGCATGATTTTCTTTTCTTTCATAGCTAAAGATTTACTGTTGTAAAGAGGCCTTCCCAGAAATATTGGAAAACACCCATCCACTTGCCTATCCCATCTCCAGATCTACTGGAGTAGTAGTATTGTTATGCTGAACTAAGCGTCTCAGGCATGGCTGCCATGTTTTTCTCAGAAAACACATTAGCATTGGGCAGTCCGTGCTTTTTCGTTGTCATTGCCTAGAAGCCTTCATTGCCGGAATGTCTGCAGACTTCCCCATCCACGTGAGGAGATGAGGACAGAGAATGGGTATATCCTATGCACAGATTCCCATGGCAAGTGCATGGCTTGGGTGAGGTCAGTGTGGCAGGGGACCTGGAGAGCCATTTCTTGGTCCACAGAGTCCCAGGGTGCTCCTTTGCATTCAACCAAATATTTATTCAGCAGACATTTCTCGGGCACCTGCTGTGTGGGGGGCCTGGAGAGAGAAATTTTTTTAAAGGACAATGAAATTTTTCAGATCAAAAGTGATCGAGCTAGTTGGAATCCTCCTGCTTGAGGTCAATGCAGAGGGCTCACAGCCACTTTACCAAGAGGAAATCAGATCATACCGTGAGGCAACTTGACCTTCTTCTGGTTCTTTCCACCAGCCCCACTGGGTTGTTTTGCTTTAAGAGAATGTAGCACAACCCACGTCTGAGAAAGAATCTCCTGAACAGTAAGGCAAAAATCTAAATCCAGGGAAGGCTGAGAGTTAAGAAGTTTTAAGAACCCTGAAACAGCATTAGTAGCTTGAGACCTGAAACATTTCTTTAGGAGGCACAGAAGCACAGCTCACCTCCAAATGGACCTCAGAAAAGCTCTTGCGCTAACCACGGCTTCAGGAAAAGAGTGGAAAATTGCAGCAAATGCACAGTCCACAGTAGGGTAATATAGTGCTTTGAAAACTGTGCCCTCTGGAGTAAAGTTGCCCAGGTTTCTACCTAGGTTCCTCCACCCCCTGGCTGCATGACCGGGGCAAAGGACTCACCTTCTCATTGCCCTTGGTTCTTAATTTGTAAAGATAGAATGATAATGGTACCTATTTCCCAAGATGGTTGTGGCAAATGAGGAACGGGTGCAATGTGCTTTGCATGATGTAGTGCATCATAAGCACTCCGTAAATTACAGCTGCTATCATCATCATCGTCGTCGACGTCATCGTCGTCATCGTCATCACAACAAAAACAGCAGCAGCAAAAATACTTTCATTAGACAGTTCTGATCTTGTCCTGGCATCTTTTTTTCCCTTTTAAATGACTTTAAAAGACATTTTTACTTTATCTTGAAGCCAAAAAGTTTTTTCTCTAAAACACCACCTAGAAAAGTATGTCTCCGCTTCCCAATCGGAAGTACCTTGCGAGTTTTCAGAGATGGTGGAGAATGGAGTTGGGGCTTTGTGAAGGCTTCTCGAGGTTTCCAGCGTACTGGGCAGGGCATTTGGGTGTTTGCCTCACGATGTGCTCGTTTGCCTGGTCCTTATCTCCAGTGATCTGAGGTGCCACATGGAGCATTATAACCTGAACTTCTGATGGAATAATTAGCCACATCAATGTCAGAATTTTTTTTTTTTTAATATTTGTGGCACCCTAGAAGACGTAACCCCTTCTTAGGTTTTATGGGATTCTCAAATATAAACTGATCATAGTGACATTATGACCTCTTAGGGATTTCAAGATTTTAATTCAACTAATAGTTACCAGCAGTCTACTCTGTGTCAGGCAAATTGGTAGATATTTTTCTCTCCAATCCCCTAAGAAGTGAGAAATGTAGTCATATTACCAGATAGGGACCTGAGTCCCCAGGAGGCCAATTGTCACCTTGTCTGTGAGTAAGCAGTAGTTCCAGTCCAAGACCAGCAGCCTTTTCTCTTTAAAACACTGAGAGATAATTTATTAGAACAGGATTTAATCCAGAACATTCTAGACTCTGAAGTACTGAGCTTAAGATGAGGTGACAGAGAATACCGCAGATGTCAGTGGGAGGACAGGAGTTTCATCCAAGATTCAGCAGACCATGGGGTTATTTGATAGATTTTGAAGGCTGGGACTGGGTACCATTATGGAGAATGAGCCTGGATTCTGTAGCTGCAGTAATTATGGTGCTCTGTGGGTCTGAAAATGAAATAAACAGAAAAATATTATTGTGAGAAGCCAGATTTTCATTATAATCTGCCCAAAATGAGCATTCTAAGGGGGGGAGAGGGGAATGGAGAAAATAAGGAAAGAAAAGAAAATTTTGGTGATTTTTGTAAACTTAAGTTCAAAAATGGAGGAGGAGACTCCAACATTCTCAATTTATCATGCTGAGTTGATAAGATGGTACTGACAGGTTGCATTTCAATAGCATATTTTTTAACCTTCCCATTTCCTTTAACTTTATGGTAAAAGAATAAATAAAAATGCTGATATAGAATCTTTGCTGGAGATAGAGACACTGACTCTTTGCCACCTGAAATTGGCAGTGAACAGCAGAGCTGAAATGGAAATTGGCAGGTACCACTGGATGTACCCAGGCTCAAAGAACCACCAGTACCATCCTGTGCCAACCCTGGGGGACAGGGCTAGCCCCTTGAGCAGTCCAGGTAAATACAGCCTCGGGGTGAATTCTAATAGCAAGTCAACTGTTATCTTTAATATTATTTGTAAAGGCTCTTTCAGTTTGGTGATATTTTCTGTTTTGCTTGATGCGTTAATTTGTTCACAGGGGCGTGGGTGGAATTGGCCCTTTAAAATTTTTTAAATCATCTTTCTTTTTCTCTCCTTCTCTCCATTCCACCCCATCTTTCACCTCTTTCTTCTGCCTGCTCTCCTTTTCCTCACCCTTACCTCTTCTTCTCAAAGGGAGCAGTGTACAATGAGATATGCCTTTGGGTTAACCATGAAATTTCCAATGTCTGAACCAATAATGGGGGGGTGGGAAGTCGCACATGTCCTCCATGGGACCAAGAACTGGGCCAGGACACTCAAGGAGCCTTGGCTCCAAGAGTACCATGAGTGTCCCCAAATGTCTTCCCAGCACCACTCTGATTTAACATCAGTCATTGCCTTTGAGAAGGAAAAATCAAAGCCCATGAAATGGGGATTGGATAACTGTGTACATGATCCCATCAGGTAGATCTGTTGGGTCTGATTTCCAGTTTCCTTGCTCATGAGGAACACTGTCTCTCAGAACTGCTAAGTGCTGGGTCTGGGTGAAATGTGCATCAGCCAGTTTGGGGACCCAGAAGAGCGAGAATGCTGAGCAATATGAACATCCGTCCTCCACATTCCCCAAGTTGACACGTGTCTTACTACTCAGTTCAATTAGCTGAAACTCAGTGACCTCAAGTTACTTAAAATGTGGATATAAACGGATGATGGTGGGTCAAATAAACACAACAGGCTTAAATTATTGCTATGATTTTGAGTGAACCCATAGCATCATTTCTCCCAAACAGTTGCTTACTTTTTCAGGAATAAATCAGAAATGATAGTGTAGAACCTACAACTCGAGAAAGAGCAATCCTGAGGTACAATGTAAGGCACCCATTGAATTACAGTCATAACACCTGTAATTAATTTTACAAAACTTTTTCTTTTAAAACCTAAATTGTGGCTTCAGGTTAATTAACATGAAATCTGATTTTGTATTTAGTTCTACATCTTGAATTATGCATTCCTTCACTTGACGTATGGCTATTAGGCACCAACTCTGTGTGTGCCTGTGCTGTGCTGGTGAGAAAAAATGAGCAAGATGTGACATCAGACATTTGTTCTCATAGATCCTTTAAAGAATGAAGAGGGTTCTGGAATCTTTATTTAAAAATTGCCATTAGAGGGGGCCAGCCCGGTGGCACAAGCGATTAAGTGCGCGCGCTCCACTGCTGCGGCCCGGGCTTTGCCGGTTTGGATCCCAGGCGTGCACCAATGCACTGCTTGGCAAGCCATGCTGTGGCGGCGTCCCATATAAAGTGGAGGAAGATGGGCACGGATGTTAGCCCACGGCCAATCTTCCTCAGCAAAAAGAGGAGGATTAGCAGATGTTAGCTCAGGGCCGATCTTCCTCACAAAAAAAAAAATTGCCATTAGACATGATATATCCATACAATGGAATACTATTCAGCAATAAAAAGGAAGGAAATGCTGATATATACTACGATATGGATGAATCTCAAAAACATTATGCTGAATAAAAGAAGCCAGACACAAGAGACCAAATATTGTATGATTCCATCTATATTAAATTTCCAGAATTGGCAAATCCATAGAGACAGAAAGTAGATTAGTGCTGGCCAGAGGCTGGGAGGGGGGGGAAATGGAGAGTAACTGCTAATGGGTACAAGAGATCTTTGTTGGAGTGATGGAAATGTTTTAAAATTAGATTGTGGTAATGGTTGCACAACTCCATAAATTTACTCAAAACCATTGAATTGTACACTTAAAACAGGTGAATTTTATATGTAGACTATATCTCGATAAAGCTGTTTTTAAAAAAAACAAACAAAAAAAGCACCATTAGATATCACAATTCAATGGCAGAGAGAGAGAGAGAGAAGAGTATTTGTTAACATGACAAGAAGGTCCCCAAGTTATCAGAAACTACTACTTGAGAGAGAATGGCCTTCATTTTAAGAATGTGTTGGAAGACACCAGGCCGGTTGGAAATCAAGAAAAAGACTAAGTGTCTTTCCTGGATAGTGGTAAAGAGTACACATCAATATCTTATTAGGGGAAAACTCTCTATCAGTTGCTCTTGATGAGTTTTGTCCGCTGGTTGAGCAGTTGCCTGGAAGAGCATTGGGATAAGACTCATGTGCTTTGACCCTACAGCCGAACACGGGAATGTGGGCGTTCTAAGCAGCAGCGGCAGCTGAGAGGAAAAATGCAAGGCTCCAATTTCTTTTCCGCAACTTTTGGGGCCCAATTTGTTTCAGAATTCAGAAGAGTTTGGGTTTTTGAAAAGTAACATGGCGCACACACCGTGTGCTTCACGATACCACCAGCAAGGTGGGGGCTCCCACAAATCCAGCGTGTTACTCTTTGTGGAGAGCCTGAATTGGGTAAATGAAGCCTGTAAACAGCCTCTTGTCCATTCAGATCGGGTTTTGGAACCAAGTAATTTCAGATCAGACCAGGTTTTGCTGCCAGATGAGCTAGACGAAAAAAAGAATCCTTAGTTTTCAGAGTTTTTGGAATTTTGGAATGGCGTGATGCGAAATTGTAGAACTCTAATAGTATCGGGTTGCTGGTGATATTTCACGTGAGAATTCCATGATCGAGCAGGTTCTTGTCTGAGGGGGAGAAATGAAATCACTGAATTTGATTAATAGAATCATCTTCCCAGATCCTGAAATGGCCGCTACCCACACGTAGTTTGAACTTTCTGTGTGCATTGACTGAAATCATTGGAAGAAGTATGCCTCCATGGCACACGCATTGGGGCCATTTGTGTCTGGAACCAGCCGCAGAGACCTTGCGTAGGATAGTTTAAAGAATACAGCGCAGGCCCCGGAGGGAGGGCACCAGACTCTGCCGTATTATTGCCTTCCCAGTTGCGTCAAGATTTTGTTGGCTCCTAAATCAATGCAGTTGCCATTCTGTACTTAGATCCCAAACCAGATGGTGCGAAGGAAAAAATAGAGAATTCCATATGGCTCTTGTGTCTTTTTTTTTTTTTTGCAGAGTTCTCAATTTCTTTCCAGTGGGGGGAAGGGGGAAAGAGGTTTTGATACAGGCTGACCAGGAGATCTTTGCCAAAGGAAAATGCCTCTCCCTCTCAGTTGTTATAGCAGAGACCACCTCCTCCCACCCCCCCAATTTCCTTATTCCCCACTGGAAAAGTCAAGGCGGTTCCAGTTTCCTTTGCCTTGATTTTTTCATGTTTTTCTTTTTTGGAGTAACGTCCCGGTAGAATTACATTTTTAGGATTTGGGTAGTTAAGCCTCTACCATCTGTTTCTTTTTTCTTTTCTTGTTTTTTCATTTTTTAACTTTGGCCAGGTAATATCCGTGTCTTCTCTAGGCCTACAGAAAATCAAAGGATGGGTGGCCACATGGGCAACCCCATGCGATGCTGCCTTTGGGGGCCTAGGCCTGAGATGGAGGTCTGAGATGGTGACAGTAGTGAAAGATGGAATAGTTAGTGCTGTATCTGTGTTCAATGGAATACTGTGCTTAACATGTAGGGAATACTTCAGGCTACTGTAGATTGTATTACACAGGCTTCAGAGTATAGTCTAAGAGAATTGAGATCCTCTATTGCAAGTGTGGTCTGTGGATGTGCAGAGTCTCAGGCCCCACCCCAGACCTGCTGAATCAGAATCTGCATTTTAATAAGATTTCCAGATGGTTCCTATGCACATTGAAGTTTGAGAAGTGCTAATTTAGAGGAAGATCCAGAGCAAGAAGGGAGAAGACAGAAGGAATTGAAGAAGTAAATTTACCCTCAAGAGATCTAGAAATCGCTTACCTCTGGAAAAGACAGAGAATTGCTTAAGGCATTCATTCTTTTTTCCCCTCTCTATTTGTGGAGAGGCGTGTATAAGAGTTGCCAGTCACTAATGAATTGCCAGTCAGTAATGCGCTGAGTCCTGGTTAGTTTGAAGGACAGTGACCTTTGATTCTCTTATCTACTTGTCTGAAATCATGCCCCCTCTTATTCCTTTGTTTAAAATCTTGGTGAAGGAGAGTGGGGGGCGGGCAGTGAAAGTGGGAAAGGTTTGTTTCTTTGTAGCAAAGAGAGGGCAAGGAGAAAGTAGTTGATGGGAGCTTGGAAGAAATTCTCAATTGTCCCTCATCACGTTCTTTAATATAATCCAATGACATGCAAGATGCTGTTACTTAATATAGGCTATAACCTAATGGACCAAGAGTGACTATTCATACACTGGTAAGTCTATAGTTCAGCATTCAGTCTGACAGATGAGTTGAAAAACTACCCCCTTCACCAGTCGCCATTTTCCCCTCTGCCCATCTCCCAAATCCAAATTGCTCTGATGCTTGGGTTAAGATGGCCGTAGATGATTCCAGAAGTCCAGAGAGACTTCTCACAGATGGACTACAATGGAGGGTGTCGGGAGAGCATGGGGGAATGCTGGTGTTTAGCTGAGAGTTGAGCAGCCAGCGCCTGTGTTGGGGTTTCCATTGCCAAGAACTGATGCCCCAGCAGCCAGGCATGGACCTGGAGGGAGGAACAAGCAAGCATATCTCGCTTGTTGCTACTGTGACTCAGGTCACACTCTTCGGTTCTGTGTGTCTGTCCAGATGTGACCTGAGAAGGCGGGCCCCCTGAGATCTTCTGCCTTTATCCCTCTGGCCCCTGTTAGGCTGAGCCTGGGACTTCTCTCTCATGGACCCACTTTAAAGAGTGACACCTGTGGATATAAGGGTCCTGGGAAATGCTGTTGGATTTTTGTTATTGTTCTTGAGTGTCACTCTTTCCTAACCTAAGGTTGTAAGGCCACTAAGTTTGAGGTCTTTTCTGACAACACTTGAAATGTATTTCAAGGGGAAACAAACTCTTAATCTTGCTGCGTGCATCATTGAGCCTCCGTCTGTGGTTGGGTGTCGACTATAACCAACAGTCTGATCTTGCTGTGTGGGCT